ATCTCCGTCCCTGCATTGCTGATCTCCGTCCCTGCATTGCTGATCTCTGTCCCTGCATTGCTTATCTCTGTCCATGCATTGCTGATCTTCACCTCAAAGCTGCCACACTCCAATTTTGCAACCATCAGTCCTCTCATGGCCCTTCATTCTCTCTTGTTCCACTGAATTGTTTATTTCACAGATACTACATTATTTTCTCTTCAGTCTATAAGTTTCCCAACCTCACCCCCTTTTCACACCCTCAAATTAGTTTTACTACAAGATCCGTTTCCTCCTTTGATTTCCTTCTTTTGATACCTTTTGGCATACACAAAACCATTTCTGGATCTTTATATATCATTTTATGATTTATCATATCCTTAACAGCAATACAACATAGTTCTCTGAAAGTGATAAAATAGATTATACATCTCAAGAGTATTTTTTTTTTCTGAGCCAAGGTGTATCCTTGGCTGTGCTGGAACTCACTCTGTAGACCAGGCTGGCCTCGAACTCAGAGATCAACCTTCTTCTGCCTCCTGAGTGCTGGGATAAAAGGTGTGTGCCCCCACCTCCCAGCTTCAAGAGTATTCTTATAAAACACAAGGTGGGGGGGACAAAAACAAAACAATGGTGTAAAGCAAGTCTCTGAACGAAGTTCGACTAAAAGCGGTCTTGTATCAGGAAACCTTTAGAAACATTTTTCACTTTTTTTCTTATAAAATTAGGTGGGAGTGTTTTATTGGTTTTCTGTGGTGGTTGCTTAAGAGAATAAAAACCTGAGAACTCAATGATGCCAAATAACTGTCCCTCTTTGGCTTTGTACTGCCATCAGCTCCCCACAAATCTTGTAAATCTCCTCCTGTCTTCACCAATTCATTTATAATTGGTTTTTAATTCTTAACATCCATCACATGCATTTATAGTAAATAAATTAATTTCATCATGTCAATTATATTGAGCTGATATAAAGAAAACACTAAATGTGCATCCTTTGGTTTACAACATTTTTGTTTTTTTTTTCAAGACAGGGTTTCTGGCATACAATATTTTTGTATTACCATTTCTTTGGTAGACTGAAAGAGTTCCCCTTGTAAACTGGGCATGGTAGTGCATACTATAATGCCAACAATCAGACAGGAGAAATATAAGTTCTAGCTTGCCATAGTTGGACTTTGTCTGGGGAGGGGCGAGGGACGGGGGCGGGAAGAATGAAAGAGAAGATAGCTTTTCAATTTTAGAACTCTAAGCTCCAATCTCAGAGTCAATCCAGTTTTTTTAAACAATGAAAGCTTTGTGCTTCCTTACACATTAGAGAGCAGTCCCGTATCCATTCACACCGGTTGTTATGGTGATTGCGTATGGGTACCACAGACACATTCTTGCCTAAGTTCTATTTTTGTACAACTGTTCTGAGACTCTGCAGACATTTGTCTCATTTAGCAGCTAGAATATTTAAGCATCAAGATGGTTTTAAAATAGCAGATAAGCCAGCCATAATGACATATTTTAAGCCGGGAATCGTATTACAAAAGAATAAGATTTCACATATTTTAATAATGCCTTCATAGTACCGTATCCAAATCCAAAAAAAAAAAAAAAATCCAACCTGACTCTAAACAAAATCAGATGGAGGAAAATGTGGATTCGTCTAATGATACATGAAAAGAAAAAAATGTTTGCACTTTTCTTGCTGCTCCGTAAACTATGACAGAGAGGGAATGAGAAGCTGGGCATGTGTTGCATTCCTGCCAGCGATCCAAGTATTCAAGAGGCTGAGGCAGAAGGACGGTGATTTCATGGTGGATCCGGGCTGCGTAACCAAATTCTGTCTCACAAAAAGCCATGGATCTAAGGAAGGGGAGAAAAAAATAAGAGAAGATAATGAAGATATATATGATTAGAGTACTTTCCATGCATGTATGAAATTGCTAAAATTCATGTACACTATACGCTAATAAAAGTTTCTACATTTTTTTGTTTCCTGAAACAGGTTCTCATTCTGTAGCCCAGGCTGGCCTGAAACTCTTTTGCAACTTGAATCAATCTATCTGTCTCCTCCTCCCCCCAAGGCATAAACAACCTAATGCAGAAAAAAAAAGAAGGAATAAAAGAAGAAACATTCCTCATATTTAAAAAAAACAACTGGATTCTGCCTCTTTTTATTTTCAAGTCTATGCAGCTTACAAACCAATTTAAATGACCCAATTGAGGCAGTTAATGTTTTATACCTTTATCCTGATTAAAATAAAGCCTTTTTTTGCTTTGCTTTGATTACATTGGTTTCTTTACTGCCCAACAGAACACTCTGCATCTTTTTTCATATTCTTGATTTTTCATAGTCTTCGATTCATATTCCTAATTGAAACTAGTTTGTCTTTCTTAATTTGGTCTGGATCTAGACATAGTCCATCTTTTATAATGCTTTGTGTGCGTGATATGAATGTGTATACATCTGTGTATATGTGTGTGGGGCGGGTAAGCATATACATGTAAGCACGAACGTATGGTGGTCGGAAATTGATGTTGAATATCTTCCTCCTTTTCCACCTTAGTTCTTTTGAGACAATGCCTCTCTTACTGTAGCTGGAACCTGATGGGTGGGCTAGACTGTGTGGCCAGGAGCCCCCAGCGAGCCTGCTGTGTCTCCACCCCCACATTGGTATTACAGGTATGCGTCACTGCTCCCGGAGTTTTATGTAGATGCTGGATCTCCAGACTTAGGTCCTCAACACTGTACTGCTGGAGCCGTCTTCCCGGTCCCCATCACCCTTTGAGGAACACATTTGACCTTGAGAGGATTTGGTGCACAGATCTTCTCTGTCCTTGAACAGATTTCTCTTGTCAAGGAACACATGACAGAAAAAGAGATCTGTAAATTTGTGAGACAGAGGCCCAGACCAGAGAAAGCTCAAGGTAGGAAGTGTTTGATAGTGCTGGAATGGCAACGAGGTGGCGGCTGAGTGTAATGAGCTTTAGAAAAGCTAGAAAGTGACACCAGTCACCTGAAAGAGGCTGAGCAGGGCAAAATCTAGCGGTCACAGCTTTGTTTACAGCTCCCGTATGTGGGCAATCCAACGAAGGGGTTTAGGTTGGGGCTTCTCGTTCTTTAAGACAGGGTCTTTCTGCGCAGCCAAGGCTGGCCTGGAACGGAGCAACCTCCTGCCTCCACTTCCCAAGTGCTAGGTTTACAGGTATACATCGCCAGCATAGCTGACTAAGGTAGTTGGAAACACTGATGCTTTGTCATTGGATCTGTGTATTGCAGAGGTTCCTAAAAACAAAATAAGACAATATCTCAGATTTATTACATGAATGTCTTATTATGAATCCTTCATGTGACATAAAAATGAATTATTCTCCTAAAGTGAAGACAGAATTGTTAGTTGGGTGACAGAGATATGAATAATTCAGTAGAAGCAAGGCATTTCAGCGCTTAGCTTACCAATGACACATTCCCAAAGGCGGGAGAAATCTGTCTGTTGTCTGTAAGATTTCTTGGGTTCTACGGGAGAAAACCCACCCACCAGACAGAATGAGCATTTAGCACCGTAGTCCTAAATAATGACAAGAATTCAGCGACAACTTATTAACTAATTAGCATTCACTAGCTGAATATAGATGTACTATGGCTTAAGAAAAACAATTTTCCTTGCAATTAAATGCAATATAGGTGCTGACGGAATGATCACATAACACAAGCCCAGGAATTGAGTTATTTAATACTAATCTTTCAATATTTTGAATTATCTCCTATACGAACATGTTCAGTATTGTGTACAAACAATCTAAAAACTTGATTTTTTTTTCTTTCAAAGCTGATGACTCAATCCTGACAATGTTTCTAACTCAGAGTGCCTCCTGTAAAGTATAACATTGGAAACCTATAGGTTTTAGCTGGGAACTCTAGAAAGAAAACCTGATCATCAGAGTGAGGTCAAGCATGTGTGTTAACACTGCCTGTCAGCACACTGGGGTTCCTGCTAACCTAGCTCTATTTTCTTGTTACAGTTCTCAATATCGTGAAGATTTTGTTTGAGAGTATTCATTTTCTTTTTTATTTTTCTTTTTATTTATTTAGTTAGTTAGTTAATTTTTACTGGGAACCCCTCCAGAATCAAGTCTCCTGCAAACCCTAGAATGGCTCTCTTAGTTGCGATATAAACTTCCCTGCTCCCATAACCATCCTTCCTCCCTCCCCCCTCCCATTCCCCCAAGCCATCCCCAATTCTCGCCCTCTCCCCTCTCCCTAACCATCTTCCCTTACTTCATCATTTTCCAGCTTATAACATTAAGCTAAGCATGGCTCCCAGTGCCTGCAGTTATTAGCCATATGCAGCCTTTGCTCAGCTACGGTTTACCTGTCCCCGATGTCCAAATCAGTCAGCCAACGTCAAGCAACTCTGATCCTACGTTCTGATGACTCTCATTGGAATAATGAAGGCAGCTGTTGGCATTCAGTTGGAAGCACTTGCCTTATGCATATTAATCAGGTTTCCTTAACTTACATCTCTTCCTTTCATTATCTGTATTCATTTAGCAGCTGATGAAACTGCCTAGCATCTAAATAATTGGGCATTTTTTTTCTCTGTAGAACTGTAAAATCAGCATAAATCAGCTGAGAATTCAGGACAGTGGTAATGAACGTCCTGAGGCAAACTCATTGAATCACTAACATTTCTTACACATTTGGTAACGACTTTCATTTTTGAAGGTCAAGTAGAAACCACCGTAAATGGATGACATAATTTGGATGAAATGTGTAAGAATTTGAAACTGGTGTAAATGAGACTAATGCTAACTACATGATATAAATACGAGCATTAGCCACAGATAAAGGATGAATGCTCAATCCTAAAACCAACCAAAAGAAATGAGAGGCAGTCTGCTCCCTTGAGATGCTTCAGTGTCTGTGTGGCAGCTGATATCAAAAGTTCACAGTGAGACGCATCATGACTATGGGAGACAGAGGTAGAGGGAGTGTCTTGGTGGAGTCAGGGGTGATGGGAGTATTGTGCGATTGCAAAGACTTAGTAGTTGGGGCTGGAGAGATGGCTCAATGGTTAAGAGCACTGGCTGCCTTTCCAGAGGACCCGGGTTCAAACACTCCCAGAACCCACATGGCAGCTCACAACTGTCTGAAACTCAGTTTGGATCAGGAATCTAACACCGTCACACCAATATGCTTAAAATTAAATAAATTTTTTTAAAAAAGACTTAGTAGTCAGACTGAGAAAAGCAGTAAAGCTAGGTGTGATGGTGAAAGCCTGTAATTCCAGTGTTTGGGAGTCTGAGACAGGAGGGTTGTGAGGTTGAGGCCAGTTTGGGATGCAGAGCAAAATCCTAACTCAAAAAAAAAAATAATGAAAAAGAGGAATGGGTTTTCTGAGAAGGCACACAATGGGCTACAGGAAGTGCTGATGTCTGTATTTTGCTCTATAGTGAGATATAGGACTATATGTATTGGGTTAATTTCTACTGTATCTTACGGACTGAGCAAAGTTGACATTCTTACAATGTCAAAGTTGTCTTCAAACGCTTAGGCGTTGGTAAATTGAAAGAGTTTGCAAAACAAACACACAGAAAAAAATATTAATTTAGTAATGATTTGCAGACTTATTCATCACTCAACATATTCCATGTGTAACTATGGGCTATAATTACTGGTTCTATATTTAAATTCTCATCAAGTATGAAATAATTATACTCAACCCAAATACCCACTTCAAAGAGATGATTCACAGTTGCAACTTTTTTCCTGCTTTTTATTAATTCTTTGTGTCTTTCCCATCAGGCATTTCCATCCCATTCATTTCCCCAGCCCTTCAAATCTACCCTCTGCCCTTGCAACCTCCCCCTTCCAATAAAAGAAAAATAAAATAAAATCTAAAATAATAAAAAGAAATAAAAGAAGGAAAAGGGAAAAAATCAGTCTCATCGTGGAAGCTGTGATGTAACACAGTGAGCCACACAGGAAATCCTCTTATCCATACATCTTTACTTACAAGTATGCGTTGCCAAGAGTCTGGTTCGAGGCCTCTGGTTTCTGCTACACTGTTGATGCCAGGCCTTCACTAGGACTCCTCTTGATTATCCTGCTGTTACCCTATGTTGTGAAAATCCTGCAGTTTTGGGTCTGCAGGATCAGTGGTCCCTTCACACACAGCAGATCATAGATGGGGTGGATGTTGGGGTGGGCCAACACATAACCCTGGTTCTGGGCCTGGGTATTTGTAGGGTTGGTCAGCACCCACATTCTCAGCTCACAACCATCTATAACTGCAGTTCGAGAGGATCCAATGCCCTCTTCTTGCCTCAACAGGAACCAGAGTCTCAGGTGATGCCCAGACACACAGGCGGGTAAAGCACCCACACATATAACATTAAAACAAATAAATCTAAGAAAATAATTGAGCACTAAAATGTTGAAAGAATTGCTTGGGTGGTGTTATCTTATTCCATTCTTCTGTTCAGTTTTATTCTGTTCAGTGTTAGCAGGATATAATCAGAGAACAGAGAAGAGAAACAGGAAACGTACTAGTCCGACTGTAGTATGCTGGCCAGGGCTGGAACTTTGCTGCATATATGTTACATTCGAAAGAAATGGTTGCTCTAGGAGCCGAGGAAGTGGCTCAAACTAGAAAGTATTTGCTGACCAAACATGAGCACCTGAGTTCAGATTCCCAGCACCCGTGTGAAAGGTACCATAACAATATACATCTGAAATCCTAGAATGGGGGAGTCAGGGGTGGGAGGATCCTGGGGGCCTGCAGGCCAACTAGCCTAGCCAGACCAAGGAGCTCCAGGTTCAGCGAGAGACTGTGTCTCAAAAATTAATATGGAGTATGCTAGAGGATGACACCTAACATAACCTCTGGCATTCACATGCGTGTGAACACGTATGAACAAACACACACATCTTGTAGCACACACAAACAAAAGGAAAAATGCTTTCTCAAAAACGAGCAGAAAATTTAGGATCAGTTTTGTGTTATTGCAAAGGTTTAAGGCAGAAGTTCCCCAGGGCCACACTTTATTCACCTAGAGAAAGGAAGTGACCAAGTCAAAGATTGCACCATCGGGGCCCCGCTGCTTCTCTTTTTGCGGGGGGTTCCTTTTTCCTGGCCTGAGAATCGGATCAGCATCTTGCTCAGTCATCACCAGAGAAGCTTCCTCCCGCAGAGGATGGGAACACGTCCAGAAACTCACAATGGGACAGTGTGCAAAAAGTGAGTGGAACACTCAGTCCAAAATAGGACATCTCCATCAAATCCCTCTCCTCAGGGGTAAGAGAATACTGCAGAAGAAGTGGAAAGATTTTAAAAGCCAGAGGGGATGGAGAACCACAAGGACACAAGATCTTCTAGACACGTCAGCGCTAAAGGAGCATGCGCAAGGCCCGCCTGGGCCTAAAACAGATGAGCCCCGGTGCTGACACGGGAAGTAGACACAAGCACACATCCCTAGCCCAGAACCTAGCTCCAGTTGATAACCATTTGCAAATGAAAACTTACTTTTCTCCAATCGAGTCTCCCTGGGTATCCAAATTACTCCTAAGGACAGACCCCATGCCCAGCAGTAGACGGCCAACACACAAGGAACTCGGTGTTGTTGTTGGGGGTTCATTGTCTCATAATGCTTTGTCTGAACGTTTTCCCCCTAACAGGTTGTTCGCATTATAGTATGGTTTCTGGTGTTGTGCTTTTACGGGTTTCTGTGGATATGAATGTGTCTCTACTCTGCATGTTTTCTTTTGCTTTTTCCTTTTCTCTTTTTTTCTGTTTGTTTGTTTGTTTTGTCCTATTCCAGTCTGTTTTTATTTTATTGCATTTTTTATGCCTGTTTGTTTTCTAATGAGAGAAAAGAAAGAGTATGGTTTTGGGTGGATAGGAAGTAAGGAGGATCTGGGAGAATTTGGAAGAGGGGTGACAGCAATGCAAATATATTAAGTGAGAAAATGTATTTTTTGAAAAAAAATAAAATTAAATTAAAAGAAAGAATCATTTGCACTCCGGGCCTAATTATTTGCATAATGACTGTTATGGTTTCCAGCCCTTATTATGGTGGCCAATGAAATGAACCTGTTTTGTTGTTGATAGCCCTTTAAATTTTATTTTTAAAAACCAAAATTATAAACAATCTTGTCTGATACTCCAAAAAAATTTAGACTTTGAAATGAAGAACTTTTATCTTACATATACCTATAAAATGGTTTAAAAATTATAGCATGAACTGTCTGCTTTGATATGATTAAATATATATTTACTTCACTATTTAAGTTTTGACAAAGGTAAAATTATAAGCAATATTTAGTTTACCTAAGAATTACTTATATATGGATATAAATGCATTTTTTCAAAGACTGTTCCATAGAGGAAATATAAAAATAATAAAAGGTGTTATTTTTCATAGAAAATGACTGGATCATTTCAAATAGATGCAATATTTAGGGGCTCATAACTCTATTTACCAGAAACAATTGAAGAAGCTAGTGTGCAAAAGTCAGATATATATTCTCTTTATAAAATAATCCAAATTATTTTTTCATTTGTTTTTGGTTTTACAAGACAGGGTCTCACTATATAGCCATGGCTGTCCTGGAACTCACTATGTAGACCAGGCTGTACTGGAACTCACAGAGATCTACCCACCCACCTCTGCCTCCCAAGTGCTGGGACTAAAGGCATGCACCTCCACACTCAGTATTCAAATTAATTTTTTGTTATATTTTTTCTCTCTATCAATGTTAGTGTCTCTTCATTCCTCTTTAAAAAATTCCTTAGAGCACAAATTTCTTTTGGCATGGTTTGGATCCGGGTTCCATTTTCCCTCATAGATTGAGAAACAGCAATTAGGTGGCACATATCCATATATGTGGCTGTGTGTGTGTGTGTGTGTGTGTGTGTGTGATATGTGCATGTGTATGTCCAGCCAAAGTTACATAATGAGACTCCAACTCAAATAAAAATAATAATAATAAATATATATATATATATATATATATTTCTACTGAAATTAGCCATGCTATCAAAGGCTCAGAACAGTCACGCAAATTACACACTGAAGTGTTGACAAATGCCTCTCCTGGTTCTTTATTTTTGTGTGCACCTAATGAGGATGAATTAACCTTATTACCCATCCCATTTTCCCTTTATTGGATGAGACACAGTTGATGGTAGGACACGAAGATAACAGGACTTTATTCCTCTCACACAACAATTCAGAGGTATATTACCTAATGCCACTCAGATCCGATTATCCAGAACTGAGCTATTGGGCCCTCCTCAGCTGCTGGGGATGCTAAAGAACACAACCTTGATTTGGGGCAGCTGTGTGTATTAGTAATCAAATCGGTTGTGTCTTGGCTAATCTCAGCTGGATCCTCACCCCAGCTAACATCATACATTGTTTTCAGCTACTCAATTATACAATATGCAAAGAAAAACTGAAGTGGGGGGGACAGTAAAGGAGAAAATCGTCAGGTCTTTCAGCACAAAATGACGTAGACTTTACAAGACAGAACGTGAGACGTGAAGAAAAGGATCACACAAACAGGTTTTGCTCTAGGAAAGTTTCTTATTTATCAAATACACAGATCTGATCTTTACTCTTTCGTTTTGAGTGACTCTGGATTCTCACAATACTACGAAGTGTCACATTTACGAGGGCCCTGTCACAAACTCAGCTTTGTTCGGGAATTCTAAAATGCAGCCAGCTCATTATCATGCCAAAACATTTCAAGGTGCTTCACAAAAAAAATGTACAATTACTTACCAACTGTAACGCAATCTGTAGCCCGAGATAAGGGCTGCGAGCAGAAGGAAACAAGTGAGTCACTACAGCTATTGGCTTCTATTTTTGATAAGGTCGTAAGGGGATTGCCTGCCTCCAGTCTAACCGCTTCCTATGTGGACATACACAAAGAATGTAGGTGTGGCCCAGAATACACAAGACGCTATTTTCACATGTTTGCCTAACATCTTGCGTGCACTCTTAAACCGTTCCTCTACCACATCTGTTCTTTTAAAATCGTTGAACAATTTAAATAATAAAACATAATTCGATTTTTGCTAAAATTCATTCCCAAGTTGGCATCATCTAAACTCCGATTTATGTGCATCTTATGAAGCATGAGTTACATATCTTTAAATGAATATCCCCTTCCCCACCCCCTCCCACACTCGTGCACCTTTTTTTACAGTGCTAGAAATTGAAACCAGGATTTTGTGGTGCATGATAGGCAAGTACTCTACCCCTGAGCCATATCCTCAGACCCTCTTTCAATATTTACAAAGGTTTTCCCCTGCCCAGGGGCCCAGAATACTTAGTCATATAACTTCTAGTCTGATTAGTTTTCTAGGCTCTGTGTAGTAGTTAAAGGAAAAAAAAAATCCAGAAATGGAGTCTGATGAGACTTACAATAACCTAAAGCAGCTATTATGATCTCTATCTTGATAGACCCCAGCATTTCTTTAGACCTACCAGTTTGGTCTTCTCAGCATTTGTACACTTTGACCTGTTGTTTTATGCCTTCCAGAAAGATATATAAAACCAAGGAATGTTTTGAAAAGGCGGTAGAATGATAATCCATTTGGAATTTCCAACGGAAATGTCATGTGCTAAGTTTAATTTCAAACCATGTGTCTCTAGAAGCACCAGGCAAATGAATCTGACAATGAAGGTTAATAGGAAGGATAGCAGGACGTGTAGTATTGAATTGAGTGTGTGTGTGTGTGTGTGTGTGTGTGTGTGTGTGTATTGTCTCAGTCTTTAGAGACAGGATCTTTCTATGTAGCAATTCTCCTGCCTCTGCCTCCTGAGAGCTTGCCAAATGTGCCAAAGTGCCACCGTGTCAGCCCAGACTGCTGATTATTGACATTGTCAATTGTTTCCTCTGCATTGTGTTATTACAAGATGGCTAACGAAATCTCCACTGTCACCTACGAGGTAGAATTTTTGATACCCTCAGTTTTAAAAAGTAAGGTGACTGGATCCCAAGGAGATGAGCAATTGCTCCGTGTCACACAGGCAGGTTGTAGGTGATAGGAGATACCAACATAGGCAGTCGCACTCAAGAACCTAGGCTCTCATGCACCATACCAACCCATCTTCATCCTTAGTTCATGACCTAAGCCATGGTTACAGAAAGGTGATTCTACCCCCAGAACTGAAGATACAAGAGAACCACGTGTAAATTCTGTACCTCTAGCTGAGTGGCATTTGTATCGCTTCTTTTTTATTTCTCATGCCTACCTTCTTCTCACATATGTATGCAGACCCTCTCTTCTAAATGAAACCTTTTTGTTTACAAATGGACACCAGACTTGAACCACTAGACCATGTCCGGGATAAATTAAAGAGGTCAAGGTTCTGGCTTTATCCTGGCTAACTCTTTGAACACAGTGTATAAATAAATGAAGAAGCTAATGGCAGCAGCCCTTTTCCATCACATGGTCCAAGTACTAGAGAGAAATGGTCTGCAGAGAAAAGAAAAACAGACAGCAAACATTCCCAGAAAAGTGAGGGCTACCTTGGGCTACTGGAGTAAATAGATGCTGAGATGGTTTAATGTGCAATTCTTCTCTGTACACTATGATTACCACTGATTAATAAAGAAACTTCTCTGGGACTATAGAAGGGCAGCATAGAACTAGGTGGGGAAAACTAAACTGAATGTTGGGAGAACGAAGGTGGAGTCAGTGAAGCACCATGTAGTCCCCAGAGGGGAAAGACCCATACTGCTGACTGGAACCTTCCAGTAGGCCACAAACCACATGGTAAAATATAAAATAATGGGGCTGGAGAGATGGCTCGGTGGTTAAGAGCACTGCCTGCTCTTCCAAAGGTCCTGAGTTCAATTCCCAGCAACCACATGGTGGCTCACAACCATCTGTAATGAGGTCTGGTGCCCTCTTCTGGCCTTCAGGCACACACGCAGACAGAATATTGTATACATAATAAATAAATATTTAAAATATATATATATATAAAATAATGAAAATGGATTAATTCTAGATGTAAGAGCTAGCTAGCAATATACTTAAGCTATTGGCCAAGCGGTGAGTCAAATAATATGGTTTCTGAGTGATTATTCTGTGGTCTGGGCAGCTGGGCATGAACAAGCTGTCTCCTGACAACAGTGGTGTTAATAGGTGAAGCCAGCACAGACTCGTGTTTAACCATGCTTAAACAATATGGTCAATATGCTTGACCATATTGAGTGGCATTGATTAGAAGCTGTGACCTTATTAGAGGAAGCGTGTCACTCTGAAGGTCTCCCAAATTATGTGCAAGTCATACCCAGGGACACAATTCTCTTCCTTGTGCCTGCAGATCAAGATGTGGCACTCTCAGCTTGTTCTTCAACATCATGTCCGCTTTATCCACCATGATAAGGGACTAAACCTCTGAGGATGCAAGCCAGCTCCAATTAAATGTTTCCTTTTGGTCATGGCATCTCTCCACATAATGCAAACCCTAAGACAGAGGCGTAGCTGGACTTAGTGTTTTCACCTCCTCCTTCCGTTTTTCTGTCTTTAAGACATGACGCTGTAGCTCTTCCTTCAAATGGTCCAGTCTAACAAGCATGGTGGGTCATAGCTGTCACCTCGCTACTTAGGAGGCCAAGGTAGTATCGCAACAAGTTTCAGGTTACTTTGGGCTAGAGTGACACTTGTCTCAAGAAATTAAAGAGGAAATGAAAAGGGAAAAGAAAACAACGACAAAGCCTATTATTCTTGAATATGATCTTTATTTGGTTTTTGATTTGACAGAAAGAAGGGAGTTATATCATGGCTTAGATCACAAGGAGCATCACACATTGTGTGAGTCCGTTTCCCAACACTGTTAAGACCCCTTAGATAATCCACCAACAGAGAGAAGGGGGCCACTTTGGTGTTGTCGGTCCATTGTGGGTTGGCTTTTGCTGTTTTTACTCTTTTGGCTTTTGGGGGAGCCACCACCCAGCTCCCAAATAAATCACACACGGGCGCTTATTCATAGTTATGAATGCCCGGCCTCAGCTTGACTTGTGTCTAGCCAGCTTCTCTTAACTTAAATGATTCTGTCTCCCCTTGGCCTCGGGGCTTTCATCTTTCTCTATTCCTGTATACCTTTTTTCTCCTCCCTACTCTGTCTAGCTGTGTAGCTGGGTAGCTGGCCCCTGAAGTCCTTCTTCTTCCTCTCTAGTTCCCAGATCCTCTTCTCTCATATTTATCCTCCCCACCTGTCAGCCCAGCGTCTTCCTCTCTCCTGCCTCGCTCAGTAACACAGCTTCACAGAGTTAAACAAGAGTAACACACCTCAAAACAACATTTCCCAACAGCTGGCCTATTGTTTGGGAATGTGGTGAATCCTGAGATGGTAAAAGAACTAAGCAGAAAAAAACTGTTCATCTTATGGTAGGGGGGTGGGGGGGAGAGAGAAACCAAACCTTCAACACAAGCCTTTGAGGGACCTGAGCACACATGTAAACCCGTTTTCTCTTTGACTCATCCACTCATCAATGCCAGGCTTGCTTAGCTTAAGCAACATGGCTGTGGCCCCAGGAAAGACTATCCTAACAAACCAATGCTAAAAAGACTGGAAGCCCAGCTGATGTCAAGTTCATCCAAGCCCAACCAAGACTTAAAAAAAATAATAATAAAAAAAAAGAAAACTGTCCGGCCAAGCCATAGACCTCTGTAAAACAGTAAACTGCTGTTACATGTGTGGACTGTTAAGCAACATTTAGCTAACTGACACAGTTGCCTGAAACGTTCCCGGGCTATTTCTGAAAGCCTGAATCAGCTGAAACACCATGCATGGGGGCTCATTTTACATCCATTTTCCTTGTGTTTTCTTAGTTTGGTTCCTGGTATTTGCAACCAGGAGGCTTCTAAGTGGACCAGAGTTTACAGGACCTAAGAATAACAGGAAGAGCGTGTTACCCTTATACAGGGCCCCCGAAGAGGGAGCCAGCTCTGTGATGGGGCAGTTCAAGGATAGCTAGCGAGGGGGACGGGGCAGTTGTTGAGAATATAGTTAAGAAAACTAATACAGCATTCTGTTTGGGGAAAACTAATTCAAGGATCCGGTTACAAAATGATAGCATGGAGAAAGCAGGGGAGGAAGGCTGGGAGACAATGAAATGGGAGTGAGTGATACGGGCTGGGCTTCACAAGCCTATGCCTGCCACGGTGCTGGGAGACACACTACTATGTTCTGCTTTGGATCCACTAATGAGGCGCCACCCAACCAGGGATGGAACTGTGACAAGGCAGTTATAGCAGCAAATGCCACCGTAGTTCTCTGAGACAGTGAGAAACCAGAAGCTGTGGTTGAATCCCTTCTCTGCCATTTCTGCCTTCCAATATCTTGCCGGTATCTTCTAGCGTCCCGAGGCCGAAGATTGTGGGCAAAGGAGTCTGAAGCGGGCAACTTGCAGGCTTCCGGCCATCTACAAACTAGATGAGATGGGATGGGAGCAAGTGACTCACACAGGGGAGGTAACGGTGAAGGGTTAAGGATCTCACTGCCAAGCATAAAGGACACTGAGCTACCTCTGTTCGTGAAGCCTTGAAGGATTACAGAATGAGTAAGCTAATAGTGCTTCCTTTCTGCTGGAGACCTCACTCCTAGAGGTGTGGACACATAGCATCCTATAGCAGGAAAGGGGAATCGAAAGGACAAACTGACTCTTTTCTCACCCCAGTTAAAGTGAACGCAGAGATTAAACTTCATTCAGAAAGCTGGAAGGATGTAACGTTCCTTTGAACCAGAGTATTTGAATGGATGTTACATTGCCCACAGGCTGGTGGGGTTTCAAGCTGCCTCGAAGCAAACGTAGACCTTTCGAGGCTCACACAAGAGCCACACAGCCATTACAGAGCCAGGTGCCGTCAAAGTTTTGGT